AAGATTAAGAGCTGTTACTATCAAAGCTGGACAGACAGACAGCTACCTGCCACCATCTCTGTTCTTTCCTCCCCCTTCTTTAATCTCATCTTCATCATCACCATTAAAATCTTTGTCATCCTCATGGTTAACACTGATGGAGCACTTACTGAGGCCCAGTCACAGTGCTAAGATGTGTCACATGTGCTATAGCATTTAATTCATCCAATAATATGGAAAGATTGACTTCAGTTCATTTTATGGATAAAAAGACTAAGGCTCTGAGAGATAAAATATTTAATCAGTTACACCCCAAAATATGTAGCAGGCTTTCTAGCCTTGCTGAAAATCTTTCCACTCTATCCTCTGTGCTATGGTGAGCTAAGGGCAGAGTGAAAAAACATATATATATATATACACACACTATATATACACACTACACACACACACACACACACACATGCACATATACATATGTATTTTACAGCTTACACCTGAACAATAATAGTACTTACTACGTGCCAGTACTGTTCTCCACAAATCACAAATATAAACTAATTTAACCTTATACTGTTCTTATAAAGTAGTACTTTTTAGTACTACTATTATCACCATTTCACAGATTGGAAGACTGAAGCACAAAGAGGTTTAATACCATTTCCTGGGTCTCACAGATAACAAGTGCAGAGACATAATTGAGACCCAGGCTGTCTGGCTCTGTCATGGCACTCCTGACTGTTGCTAAGTGACTCTCCCTGACACAAATAGGAAGCCAGCCCTGGACTAGGGACAGGCCCTCACTATCCCAGACCCCCAGACCTCATTGAGAGTTTGATGGCAAGGCTGTCAAGTCACCAGAGTCTTCACCCTGAGGTCTGGAGCCCTAGAATGTCATAGAAAATAGCATCCCTTGACTGACAGCAAAAAGACAAGAGATAACAAGTGTTGACAAGGGTGTAGAAAAGAGGAAACCCTTACACATCATTGGTGGGAATGTAAGTTGGTACAGCCATGATAGAAAACAGTATGGAGACTCCCCCAAAAATTGAAAATAAAACTACTATACAGTCCAGAAATACCACATCTGGGTCTGTATCCAAAGGAAATGATATCAATATTTCAAAGAGATCACTCCCATGCTCATTGCAGCATTGTTCACAGTAGCCAAGATATGAAAACAACCCAAGTGTCCATCATGGATGAATGGATAAAGAAAATGTGGCACACACACACACACACACACACACACACACACACACACATACAGGGGAATATTATTCAGTCATAAAAAGAAGGAAATCCTAGGCTGGCTGTGGTGGTTTACACCTGTAATCCTAGTACTCTGGGAGGCTGAGGCAGGATGATTGCTTGAGCTCAGGAATTCGAGACTAGCCTGAGCAAGAGTGAGACCCTGTCTCTACTAAATATAGAAAAAAAATTATCCAGGCACCCCAAAATAGAAAAAATTAGCCAGGCATGGTGGCACGTGCCTGTAGTCCCACCTACTTGGGAGGCTGAGGCAGAAGAATTGCTTGAGCCCAGGAGTTTGAGGTTGCTGTGAGCTAGGCTGACACCACGGCATTCTAGCTAGGGCAACAGTGAGACTCTGTCTCAGGAAAAAAAAAAAAAAGCAAATCCTGTCATTTGCAACAACATGGGTGAACTTTGAGGGCATTATGCTAAGTGGAATAAGCTAACTAGACACAGAAAGACAAATACTGCATGGTCATACTTATATAGGGAATCAAACAAAATTGAATTCATGGAAGCAGAGAGTAGAATAGTGGCTGCTAGGGGCTGGGAGGTGAAAGAAATGGGGAGATATTGGTCAAAGGGTGCAAAGTTTCAGTTATAAATTCTGAAGATCTAATGCATACCATGGTGACTATAGTTAATAATATTTTATTATGTAATTGAAATTTGCCAAGAGATCTTAAGTGTCCTCATCCCCTTTCCCCACACACATATGAAAAATTGTAACTACATGAGATGATGGATTTGTTCATTAATTGTGGTCATTCCACAATGTATATGTATATCAAATAATTACGTTGTATACTGTGAATATACACAATTTTTATTTGTCAATTATACCCCAATAAAACTGGAAAAATTTTTCAAAAATCAATTTTATAAGAAAGCATCCTCATCACTCTCTAGCTCCTTACCCTGCTTTCTTCTACTTCAACAACTTCCTGGCCTTGTTAAATATTTAAATTTATTCAAAGCTTATTTTGTGTCTTCCCCACTAGAGTATAAGCACCACAGGGGTGGGGACTCCCCTGTATGCACTCCTCAATGTCCAGAGCCTGGTACACAGTAGGTGCGCAATACATATTCATGGACTCTCCTTTGGGGAGTCTAAGGGTCCCCCAAGTCAGAAGTTGGGACAGCAGGAAAGGCTGGCTTGCCCTATTTCTGAGGCAGATGTTACTGCCAGAATTATGGATGATTCTGTGGTAAAAGAGGGATAATGAGTGAATGGAGAGGGATGCCTTGAAGTGAGGGGATGGGTTATCAACCGTCCTGAACACAGAGGACAGGAACCAGCCTGTTGCCCAGGTGGGTGCCACTTGCTAAGCCCCTTGGTGGCAAAATTCTGGAGAAACAGGAAAGGTCTCATAGGAGACCCTGAGCCCTGGCTGACTACAATGCAGTGTCCCTTCCCAAGCCCTTTCAAACCTTGGCAGGTTTCCAGTGCTGACAACAGAGGTTTATCGTGCAAGGCAAATACTGGCTCAAAGAGAAAGGAAAGCTTGGTGGTGGCGGTGGTTAGGGGCAGTTGGGTGACAAAGTGGAAGCCAGGTTCCACGCCAGGTGAGCAGAGCATGGTGCTGAGTCATCTGAAGCACCAAGGTCTCAGCAGTTAGGACCAAGGAGGTCCATCAAGAGACTTACTATCCCTGTTCCTCAGTTTCCCCATCTGTGAAACAGGGGTGTTAATAACACATACCTCATGGGGCTGCTGTGAGGACGGCAGGAGGTGGCATATGTAAAGTGTTCAGGACAGTGTCCGACACAAAGCAAGTGGGAGCATTAGCTGGAATGACGACTACTCTGCTTCTGTTAGTACTGTCTGCAGAGAGCCAATCTGGAAAAGTGCACCGGGCTTTAGGGGCATAGAAGCTTCCGGGTGGGAAACTGCAAACAGCTAGCCAGGCAGTCAGGCTCCAGAGCCAGCCCTCCTAGCCGGCATGCTCTGCCACCTTCCCAGAAGTGGCAGGATGGATTAGTGGTCAAGATGAGAGGCCACGGCGTCAGATAGACCTCTGCTGGAACCCGGGCTCCACTGCTCACTAGCAGTGTGTGTATTTGGGTTTGCTGCTTACCCTCTCTGTACCTGTTTCCCCACCTGCAATATGGGAATACCAATAGTACCCATCTCGTAGGTAAAGACTTCCAACAGCACTCGGTGTTGTTATTATTAACATGGGCAGTAGAGAGCTTAAGCACCACAGCTCTATGGACACAAGGCTCTAAATTGACCTTTGTGAACAGTGTTCAAGGATAAACACTCCTTGTTTGGCTGGAAAATAGCTGCTTCCTGTGCTAAGGCTCCTGTTTAGAGCGTGGATGGCATTTCCCCGGACTGGCCACTAGATGGCAGGCATGCCCTTCCCCGCCCTACCTGGGCGGCTCAGCGTCAGAAATAGCGCCCGCGTGGGAAAGCCGCCTTCTAGGTGCCAGACGCTGAGCTGCGCCCTGCGCCTACTTTCTCACTTACTTACTGCTCACAGCAGTGCTCAGATTAAAGGAGCCGCTCCCCACGAAATTCTAAGCACAGATCCTGGCATATGGTAAGGCTTCAAAACACATTTGTTATGCTTCCTATTGTTGTTATTATCCCTGTTTTATAGAGGGGGGGACTGAGGCAGAGAGGGTGAGTAGACAGATGGAGCCTGATTCTAAGCCAGGCTGGATGCCAGCTGCAAGCTCAGACTCATTGCAGGGGACACTCCCTTCAAGGTGCCTTTCCCCATCGGCTCTTGCCCTCCGGATTCCGCTGGCTCCACCACTTTCTTATTCCCTGTGTGATCTTAAACCAGTTATTAGGCTTTCAGAGCCTCGATTTCATATCTGTACAATAAGGGTTACACTACCTTCCTTATTTTGGACATACTTGAGAGACAGACTAGAGTAGACACTCTGTGGATGGTGGTTACTGTTCATGCTACATGTTAACATAACCAGAATGAGTTCATTAGTTCCCTCCTCCCCTCCCTTTCTTCCTTCCTTCCTTTCCTCTGTGTGCCTGGAACTACAAAATACTCATGGTTTCTGCCCTCATGGAACTTACAGTCCAAAATTCCCCAGTCTCTGTCCATTCCTGGGACAATTCTACCCCCAGTGTGTCTTTTTCTCCTGTAAACCACAGGGATCTGGTGCTACCCTGGGGTCCCTCTCTTGGCAGGACCCAGTTGTTATAGATCACACAACTCACATCCCACCTCCTCCCCTGCTGTGGTGCTCCCAAAGCAAGTCCACAAGTCCTTTAGATACTGCAAGACATCTTCAACTGCCAAACCACCTGATTCTGTTCATTCAGCTTCCACAGTGGCTCTCTAACTGGCTTTGGGATCAAAAAGATTGTGCTGGGGTGCCTGAGCCTTTGGGAGGGAGACATGTGGTGGGAAGATGGGGTCTCATGAGCTCAGTCTTGTTTACAGTAGAACAGCTCTGGTTTTATATAATTTATATGTTGGACTGATACGTAATGTTCTGCAGCTAAAGAAAACCACTGAAGACAACTATCATGGCAGGTGGAAAGGAGAAGAGTTTTGAGATAATTGAGAGAAAATCTCCAGGAAAGAGATTTGCCTGGGAATGTATTTTAAAATGAGTTTCCAAGGGAAAAAAGAATTTAATTTTTGCATCACAGTAATTTGGGGGTTATCTGGAACGCCACTCACCATCGCTGCTGACTTGACTCATTTGGGCTGGTCACATGCTCCCGACCTCAGCAAGGCCTTGGGCCCCGTCCCACCGGGCTGACTTAGGACTCCGCCTTTTCTGTGTTGCAGTGCCCTGGTTCCCAAGAACCATCCAAGAGCTGGACAGATTTGCCAACCAGATCCTCAGCTATGGAGCGGAACTGGACGCAGACCACCCGGTGAGTCCGTAGCCCTCTGGATGAGATGCTCCCAGCTTCTACCCTCCTCTTCCCTTCCTCTCTCCTCCCTTCTCCACCCTTTCTTCTCCCACATCCTCTGCTTGAAGCAATGTGTTTGTTTACTTGTTCAACAAACACCTATTGAGTTTCTACTTATGCCAGGGTGGAGGAAGTAAAGATAAACTTGACATTATTGTCATCATCATTATCGTCATCATTATTATTGTTGGAGCAAATATGAATCGCTGTCCAGATGACTGTCTCTATACATACACAGACACACAGAGACGTAAATGGTCTTTGTTTCTGCTTTTGTACCTCTGTGGAGGTTTAAATTAAGTGCTTGGGAAACGGGGACCCATGCTGACAACTCTGCCAGCTACAGGGGTGGTGGTGGGGGGGTGGGGAGTGGCGACACTGGAACTGGATCTCAAAAACTGAGTAGAAGATTCTGGTCCAATAAGGAAAGGGGCGGCCTTAGGGCTGAGAAGATGGAACATGTGAAGCCCCAGAGTCCTGAAAGCACCGGGATGTTTGGGGAATGCTGGTTGGTGCGTTGGGTATGAGGATGAAAGACGCAGCTAGGCAGTGTTTGGGGACAGGTTTTAAAAAGTCTGATATGCCAGAAAGAGGATCATGGAGAGATCCTTGTGTCTTAATGGTTTTTGAGTAGAGGGTCAGGGTGGGGAAGACGGTCCTGGGAGAGCACAGTTCAGTTCCAGCAGCCCTCATGGGTGGAAGGTGCCACCATCCTAAGCCCTTTACTCTGCCAGGCAAACGACTCACTTGTCTTTAAAAGACTTGGAAGCTGTTTCCATCACAGGGCTTTAGTGTGGCTCAGAAGGAACATCTTTCTTCCCGAGGAGCCTGGTCTCTTCCCACGTTTGTGTGGGTCTTTACTGTTGACATGGAACTTGTTCTTCGTGAAGGCACTTTTCAGGAAGCAAAGCAGATGTTTCCATCTTAGAGACAGATGTGGGGAGGCCCAGCGAGGGTGAATGACTTTGTGAAGGTCCCGTACTAAACTCTGGTCCTATGTGTTCTCAGTGCTCAGAGACAGAGGCCCAGCGAGGGGCAGAAATCCAGGTCCTTCTCCTGAGGCAGAGAGATCGCTGCTTCAGGGGCAGGCTGGCCTCTTGAAATAGGAACAACTGATGCCTGTTCTAGTTGAAATAGTAAAACCCTTTTATAGTGGACTTGAAAATACAGAAAAGCATGAGGAAGAAAATGAAGGTCACCCAGAATTTCAGATATTTCTATTTTTCTCTCTGATTCCGTTCTGCATTTTTTAATGATGAGAAAGTATATATAAACAGAAATAAAGCTAAATGTCCTCCTGTCTCCCAGACTTCAAAACAGAAAAAAAATCACCTATTATCACACCATCCGAATATAATCAATATTAATATTTGAGTGTGCTTCCTCCTCCTCCTCCTCCTCCTCTTCCTCCTCCTCCTCCTTCTTCTTCTCCTCCTTCTCTCTCTCTTTTTCTATCTCTCTCTCTCTGCACACATGTAAATCTCTCTCTCTCTATTTTTAATACAGGACCCTAAGTTACTATACAGCCTCCCATAGCAAGGATGTAAGAAGTTTCCAGTCTTTCACTATTAGCATCACCCTGCAGTGAACATTCTTGCATCTTTATGTGAATGCCCAAAGGCTTCCTTGAATATTAGTTGTGAAATGAAATTAACTATGTTTTAACCAAGAGTAGAAATTATATTTAAGTCTTCTAATACATATTTTACTTAAATATTCTCCCTCCCTGAAACCAAGGTGGAGCTGGAGTTGTTTGACCTCCAGTTCCGTCTCCCTGTGTGTGATGCAGCGAGCTCCGTTGGAACCAGGGGTGGCAAAGGGCACTCCTGGCAAAGCTCTGTATGTGGCTTTGACAGTTCTCTGTCTGGGGCGTCTTAGCTGTCTCTCCCTGTCTGCAAAGCATCTACATCGATCTTGTTTCTCAGAGAAGCTGCCTGTTTGACCCTGTCCCTGGGATCTGCCCATCAGGGTGTTTTCTTCTCTTACCAACCCCCAGTCTCCCAGCCCTGACCCCACATTCCTCCAGTCGGTCCTGCAGGGCAGCGGGAGAAGCCAGCCCAAAGAGACAGACACTTCCCTCCCTTTATCCTCGTGTCCCCTCCGAGGCAGACCAGGCTGGCCTTGAAACTCTCTGGAATTCACTGCTCTTTACAAGCCTAGCCCACATCTTTGGCTCCATGACCTCTCAATGTCATGCATTTTATCATAAAAATACAACTTATCAGGTACACAGTCCCCTGAAGAGGAGGCGCCAGGCTCTCGCTGTTCCTTTGGTTTTTCATCAGATCCCAGGGACATGGGCCAAGAACACCGCAAACCCTCCAGGGTGCTTCCCCACGGCCCCGGGCCCACATGCCTGGCCTCAGTGTGTGAGCTGCAAACAGACACCGGTCCAAGGGGTGGTGTTGGGGGGCAGGGTGTTCTTCTTGAAAGGACCCTCTGTTCTCTCTGTCCCCTCGTATGCAGCATGATCTCTTCTTCCCCTGACCCCTGCCCTTGGCAGCACGCACTGATGTTTGACCCAATATCTCACATCAGGGCCTCCAAACAACCACTTTGAAAAATGAGGTAAAGGGAGGATTGTTCCCGAAACGCAGGGCAAAGAGCATCTGCCTTTCAGCTTCGGCTAAGTGGGAAAATGAAATGGGCTCGCTGCTCTCCCCTCTGTCCATCCTGCCTCCTTTCCTCCGTTGCCATTCTCCCTCCTTCCCTTCTTCCTCTCTTCCTTCCACAAATGTTTATTAAGCTGATATTCATAGCTAACATTTCTTGAACATGGGCTGTGTGTCAGGCATTATGCTAAGTACTTGGCATGCATTGTTTAATTTATACGTCAGCACCACCCTGTGAGGGTTGTGTGTGCCATTTTCTGATGAGAAATCTCAAATGGGGCAGGCCGTGTGGCCTCACATGTACTTGAACTACTGGTATGTGCCAGGCCATGTAAAGGAAAGGGGGTTGAAATGACAAGTAAGACACGATCCCTGCCCTCCAGGGGCCTAGAGTTGTGCAGCGCAGAGGAAAGGGTGTTGATTCTTCTCAAAGCCACACCAGGGAGAACTGGGATAGCAACCGTGAACTTGGCAGGCAGAATCCAAGTGGTCCTGTATGATTTCCATTTTTAAAACTGAGTGACCATTTTCCAGCCGCTGTCCGTGTTGTTCTCTTTACCTGAGAGGCTTTTTCTTGTCATTCCACCTGTTCTTTCCCCACTGGTGAACCTCTGTTCATCTTTTAAGATCCAACTCATATATGTGACCTCCCTGAAGCCTCTTTCCTATTTCTTTCCCAGTGGTAAGCTTTTCATACTGTTACTGTAGAAAGAACTGCATGCATGTCTTAGAGATGGTAACTATCACATTGTGTTCTACACTTAGTACACAGAGCATCAGATCACAATGAATTTACTTCTTCAGGACCTGCAACCTCATAAGAAGCACAAGGTGTATATATATATATACATACATACATACATGTAAGTGAAAGGGCCATATTCATGTTTCCCAAAATGTAGTCCATGAAAAAAATCTCATGTTCAAAGAAAGAAGCACTGTATTCTATGTCCCTCTTTTTAAAGCATGTACAAGTCCCGTTATCTCATTAAGGCTTTGGAAAGTCCTGCAAAAATAAAACCTATTCAGCCTAATCTTTTCTCAAACTGTTTACCCATGGAACCCCATTGAATGGAATACTTCGTAACATTATCATGAATGGTAGTGTTGCATAGAACACAATTTGGCTAGTAGTTGAATCATAACTCAAGAAGGTTCATCATTAAAGGCCAGGTTTTATGAGTCAGATAGTATGTGCTATCAGTTCCAAGTTCACTGTGGACTGGATGGTTGGGGGGATTTCTGGAAGGAAGAGATCAGAGTTGAACTCTCTGGCAACCAGGGTAGGCTAACTGCTTGTCAAGCAACCTCCATGGCCTCACCCAATAAAAGTTTACTTCCAGTGTGGCTCCACATGATCTTTCAGAAATCAAGCCTCCTTCTACTAATAGCTACACCCTCCTCCAGTTCCCTGGAGTCCTCTCCATTCTGACAGCGACTGGGAGAAGAAAGACTGAAAATTGCTCCTGGCAGGCTTTTGTGGGCCATGTCTAGAGATGGTTCATGTCCCTCTACTCAATTCCATTGAGTGGAGCTCAGTCACATGGCCACTACTTACTGCAAAGCAGACAGCGAAAGCAGTTTAGCAATGTCCTCTGAAAAAAAAAAAGGGGAGAGCAAACCTTAGGAGCACTAGCAGTCTCTGACACATACACCCTAACCCCGTGCTCCCCTTTCTAGTTTACTGGGCACCTGCACTTGAGTCTAGGCTGAAGATCTTCACTCCAGAGGGCCTCCTGGTGGAGAAAATTTCAGCCAAGACAACTGTCCTTCTGTGTATATTTATACTTTTGATCCAAGTCTCCCAAACTGAGCCTTAATCTTTCAAGGTGTGGGCATTGAGTTTCCCTACTCTCCAGAAAACTCCTCAAGAACAGAGGTATATTTTTCAATACTTTTCTCCTTTCTTCGTCTGAAAAGCCCACCCAACCTTCTCTACCTGAGGGCTCTATCAGAGTTTATTCTGAGGATCAGCCAGTTAAGTTATCAAAGACTGGTTGTACTCTAAGTTGCTCTATTGAAGCATAATTTTCAGAAAGCTAAAAACGTAACTGTAATACGATTATATAGGGAACACCTGTCAAAGATCCATTTGACACATTAATGAGGGAACCAGAAGAATGACAAAGACACAAAAGACCAAAGTATAAATAGTCATTGAAAAATAGAATGCTGGAATGAGATCAACAAGATGGATGCACAAAAGCAATAAAACCATGAGTTATCCTTTCTAGCAGACAGAAATCATTTACAATTTGATCATAAAATAAATATTTTGCAACTTACCTATCTTTGAAGTGGTTGGACCTTACTGAGTGTTAAATATATGTCCCGCTAGAGCATACAATG